ACATTTAAAAAATTAAAAACATTTTGAAATATTTGCCCTCTGGGATGTATTATTTAATTCATTATATTGTTCTTCGTGTGTAAATAATGATATTAAAATTTGTAAAAAAAATTAAATAATCCAAAAAATATTCAAAACCTCGTCTTTTAAGGGGCGTTATAAAAATTTTGCACAGGGAGCCGAAATAGATAAGCCGGCATTGCTTGCTGTGTTCAATATTTAAGGGATTCCTTCCTTAGAAATACAGGATTATGCATTAAGACTTTAAATCTTGAGTACGTACTTAAAACGCACACTAGAGGTGGTTACATCTAGTATGCAGAAGAAAAAGAAGCACACCAAAGCAAATGATATAACGTAGCGCGTAATGACCTGTGTGAATCTCGTGACATTTACCACGACTTCGTCCTCTAACCAACGACTATTGCTCGTCTCCGCTTACAGAGTCAAACTTCATGACAGTACTATGTTCCTGTCTATAGATTTCTTCCGCACAATTTATTTACTAAAATAACAAAACACCGAACATCAAGAAACAAGAGTAAACAAAATGTTTTTAATGATAACATCAACATAATTACAATTAAAAAAATACTAACATATAAAATTGCCCTGATTTGATATTAAACACTTAAAGATTATCACTGAAGGAAAACATTCCAAATTTGTAATCTTAGGTAGACCTTTTGATGTGATCTATAACATAATCGTGAAGATGCTATACATAATGTCTATGTAATTATGTTACATTATTCTTATATACCTACATAAGTACAAATATTCTAGAATAATTGTTATAATTCTGGAATAATTATTATAAAATATATGTTTGCAAAAATTACAATAAGATAAAATATAACAGTTATATCACACCGATATGGAATTTTTGTCGGAACATATATTCTATAGAAAAATTATTATGTGTATTATGTCGTAGTAAAAAATTTTAAATATTCTAATCTAAACTTGCTTGAGAACAACTTTTGGTCTGACTTCGTGGGACCCCCGAGTAACATGTTTTAAGCAAATGCTATTGATTTTTAATTTTTTTCCCACCATTTTAAAATTTGATATGTTGGAGAAAATGTAATGATTCGTATTCAGAGCAATATGTTAAAAAACATTCTTATTTTTCCGGGTCCAAATGTTGACCCAAATTTGTTTTCCTGTGTTATAATATTTTAATAATATTGTAACATTACTAGTCAATGTTCTCACAGGGAGAAAAGTTGGAATTATTGCCACGCAATATTGACACAATATTGAGCTCAAATGTTGTGCTATTTGAGAATCTGCAATTTTAAAATTACACTTTTTACAATAGGTGATTAATGGTACTTCTTTCACATATATATATAAAGAATTATTAATTATTGTACTATTGTATAAATTAACGCATAAAAATGGGCCAGTTCGTTACAATATGTCATGACATGCAGTATTTCCGTTTCACTATCAGAATTCATTGCTTATCGAAGGTCATCAATCAGATTACATATTAAGAGTCATTGTAGTTAACTTCATTAGAAACTAAGGTATATATAAATTATGTGAACAGTATGATAGATTATTATTAATTACTTCATAGTTTTATATTAGTTTTTTTCTTTAACCGAATGTTGAAAAAGTTACAAATCATTGTTCAACTTTATAAACACACTCCAAGCATTATTTTTACTGTGAGCTTTTGATTCTTGTATCAATATTTTTTATCTGAAACTTAATCTGCATTTTAACTTTAATTTCTTTTGTCAATTTTATCTAAAAACATAATTTTTGTCTTTTAACTTATTGCACGTTTTCATTCAAAAATTATTCGATAACTTAATTATAACACATTCGTTTCGTGTAACAGGATAATTTAAAAACGATCGTAAGAACATTTTTAGGTTTATAAGTACATCAGTGTAAAAAATACAAATTTTAAATAACTTTTTTTAAAAGTAGGTTAGCATTTTCATTAAACAATGTATTTACACTTTATTTTAAGAGTTCACATGAAAAAATTTTTATACAAAAATATTTATTTTTAAATAAATTATACGCACATTTGTGTGACTTTTAGGAAATGTAACAAGAAAAACCGATCTTTTAAAAATCCTGACCACCTCTAATTTCTTAATTTCAAATCATTTGAATAGAATCCTGTATTACATTTTATAGATATCCAATAAGAAAATGAAGTTACTAATTATTAGATAGTATGTGTTCCTACGTGTTAACTTTTGGACTTTCCTATTCGTTGAAAATGACAAGTTGTCACCTACTTATATAAAATATGAGTGTCATATGTCGATAGTGAGCCGAGTAGTAGCCTTATTTTACTTCTAGAATATATAAAGGATTTTAAGATGGATCTTAAATCAGGAACCTGTGTGAGATCGCCTTTAAAGGAAGGAAGATCCAGTAATGCACTTGATTACACAGGTCAACAAAAAAAGACTTACTTTTTTTATGAGATATCGGAATGGTTTCCGATGTATTTTTGGACGCTGAACACGATCCCGAATCACGTCCATCACGTCAGGATTTTGAGAAAAGTGGGGGTAAAGACCCCAAAAACGATTTTTTGAGGATTTTCAACATTTTTTTCTCTTTAACCTAACGTGCTAGAGACTTCCACAAGGTCTTAAATTAAAGCTTGTAATGTGCACTACAAGACCCATATCCATAAAATGAAAAAAAATAAGATTTCTTTTAAAAAATGGGGTTGAAAACACCAAAAAGGTGTGTTTTTGGAATGCTTTAATAGATTTCATGCAATTGCTTGGATTCGCTTGAAAATTGTTACTCGGGGTTTTTGAAGTCGTTGATTAGGAATCCGATATTAGTTTTCAGAAATTCAAAAGGGCGAATTCATAATCAGCGACCCCAAAAACCCTGGAGTAACAAACTTTCAAGCGAATCCAAGCAATTCTTAATTTTTACATCTGCCATCTTGGTTTCGCCATTTTAAATTTTTGAAAACTAATTTCGGATTCGTAATCAACGACTCCAAAAACCCCGAGTAATAATTTTCAAGTGAATCCAAGCAATTGCATGAAGTCTATTAAAGCAATCCAAAAACACACCTTTTTGATGTCTTCAACCCCATTTTTTGAAAAAGCTTTTAATTTTTTTTTATTTTATGGATATGAGTCTTGTAGTGCACATTACAAGCTTTAATTTAAGACCTTGTGGAAGTCTCTAGCACGTCAGGTTAAAGAGAAAAAAAATGTTGAAAATCCTCAAAAAAGCGTTTTTGGGGTCTTTACCCCCACTTTTCTCAAAATCCTGACGTGATGGGCAATTTTGGAATTCGGGATCGTGTTCAGCGTCCAAAAATACATCGGAAACCATTCCGATATCTCATAAAAAAAAGTTAGTCTTTTTTTGTTGACCTGTGTCATTCATCATTAGATCCCAATAAAATCATAAAATTGCATAAAAATTCACTTGTTACCATTAAAGCAGTTTTTCCAAAAAACAGATTATTGATCTGCTGGTCCTCTTTATTTTTTTCTGTCAAATATTTTAATAAGTGAGTAAAGTCCTGTGTAAAAAAGTGGTGTATGAAAATATCTTTTGTATTTCTGAATTATCTAGGTAACTAAAATTATAAACGTGTTGGGAATTTTTTTTCCTCTACCCTGAAAATTTATCCGACTTAAGTAAAATTCAGATTTTGCGTAATTTGTGCCTCAGGTCTAAAGAGACCTCAAAAATACCGTATTGGAGCAATTATGCGTAAAAACCGTCACGCCCAATGCCAACATATACTCTCATTCTGTGTTATAAATATACGTACGCATTTCTTCTTTCAGGGCACCGATCGGAGATAATATTTCAACCTTATTTATTACACCGTCAAACGCTTGAAAGTAAAAGTGCCTTAACAGGATACATGTTTGTCTTTCGCGCAAACAATTTTCTCATTCAAATTATTATTTCATTCGCATTTATTGGATTCTCATTCTTTATACATATAGTTACTAAAGTTTCATCAAGTCATTTGTAATAAATTAATAATCGAAATGCATCAGATGATTAACAGCAAAAATATTTTTGTGTTTTTTTTTGTTTTTGTAAAGTACAGTAACGAAAAACTGTTTTTGATTGCTTTTTCTATTTAATTATGTAGCTTGAATAAAATTAATCTACTCACTTACTTAATGGTATCATTTATCATTTCTAATAAATTCTTTGATTTAATGAAGTTTTTCAAAAATCTAAAATCTGTTTGAGACACATGCTCTAAAATGTGATGTTAAATGTCATGGAAATTTCATCACATAATTCTCAGCCAAATTAAAGAATATAGAATTTTTAGCACTACAATTTTTCTTCAAAAATATGTTGGTTTACTTAGACAACTTCTTCTGCAAGAAACGGTCTTGAAGACCTTTAAAAACATATAAATTACAACTCATACAAGTCTTTTATCGTTACTATGTTGTGAAAGTCCTTTTTTGCCAGATGTTTATGCCTATAATGGCGAAAACCTTTTTGAACTAGTTTATGAAAGTGGAAAAGTGCTTAATCAGAAATGCAGTTGTTATTAATATTTAAATAAATACAATCAAAATATATTTAAAAAAAGTATTAAAATACAAAAAAAGTATGTCTTTATATAATACCTTTTTTCAATTTAAAACTTAGGGAAATAATGTTATTATAAATAAATAAAAAAATTTCTTCGTTTTTGACAATTTATAAAAATAATTATTATATTTCTTGTGATAGTTTTATCACACACTTATTATTTACTCTTTAACCTTGATCTCAAATGAACATTCACTTTAAAGCTTTTTTCTAAAAATTAAAAATACTTTTGAAAAGTTTTTTACTACCTAGGTGAATGAAAAGAAGTAAAATTTGTTAAAATTTTATCACTAAAAATAAAAAATAATTTTCGATGCTAAGCATCGATGCCAATTTCAGGAACCTCCTATCTGAAAAAAACAATAAAATTATTTTTCGTAAAAGAAGCAAAAAAAAATATTGTATTTTTATTGTTACAGTTATCTTGTCGATGATTCTGGACTTTCAGAATGGCTTTGGATTATGCAGCGCGGGGGAACCTGGCGTAAGTACTCCTACTCTTTTATTTTTCTTATCGTTGAAAGTAAACGGGTTAGAAACAAGAAATTGCCAATATACTGTACTTAAGAATTACCTCGGTGCCCTTCATTCATATATAAAATGTAAGTGATTAAAAAATCGAGAGTTAAATTTTTTTAATACTCTTTCTAATAATTACTTTTTCACAATCTACCACATGCCAATAAAGGAATTCGATAAAATTTATTGTCCACACGTTTATATAAAGAATTTTAATATGGATACATTTTTAAGTAATAAAAATTTCTCTGAGTAAATAATTAATAGTTTATAATTATTGTTAATTATTATTACTATATAAAGTTTGTTCATAAAAACTAATAAATTAAAAAACAACACTTTCGAACGTAAATTTGTATTTTCAATTAGAACTTCATTATTGACCCAAACTATACTATTAAAATTATGAAAATTTGTAAATTAATGCAGAAAAATAAAAATATATATTTTTTCTCTTGATGCAAAGGTTTCATGTAGTAACTTGATTGCAATTCATATGAGAAATCGATAACGAAATATTATTGGGTGTAAAAATTTGATAACTAGTTTGAAGAAACTTGATAAACTTGTTTAACCATTTCTCGTGCCAGCATGGTAGTTTTGTGTTATATAATCTGCTACCATTTTTCGCATAATAAAGTAAAATCTACTATTTAATGTAATAAAATGTATTCGGAAACTTATTTTATAGTATTTGGATTTCGACAATCTTCCGGAGACCAATTTCTCATGTCAAGGGAAGGTGATTGGAGGATATTACGCGGACGTCGAAGCAGGTTGCCAGATGTTCCACGTTTGTACTATAGGTCAAAAAGGTAATTTAATAAATTATTTGATTTACCTATTTTTATTACGATGATATGACATACAATTCAACTAGATATAAGGTAACTGTACCAGTTACCGAAGGTGCATCAATTGTCGAGGGTAGTAATTTTTTTTTTCAAATATAAATATGTAATATAGAATATTTAAAAAGAAAAATAGTTTCTAATTAATCCTTAAATTTTCAATTGTATACTTACATGATAAAATTCCACATCTACTGAAACAAAATAATTAGTAAATCAAAATTTTAAGACACTATATTGTCAAAATTTACTCAATTCGACAATATCTTAATACTTCAAGTTGAATAGAAAGGTATGTGAATCTCCTAAATCGCTGTTAAAATAAGCTGTTTTCTGGTGTATGCTGTAACTCACCACAGAATCATTTAAAATAAAAAATTAATATAAATTTGTTAAAGCAAATGTTTCTTGAGGAATCCATGGGAGAAGTTTTATTTTTTTTATTCTTCAATTTTTTGTAGCACTTGGAAGCCAAAAGACGATTTTCTTTATAAAAAATCGGTTAATTTGTTATTGTAAAATTGGTAATTTAAAAAATTTAAATTCATTGTCGAGAAAAAAAATTAGACTTTCATGTTTTTTAAAATCCTCGTCAATTGGTGTAGTTACCCTGTATTTTAATAGATTGTAATGTTTTACATATTTAGGGTAAACCAGACAGTAGTCGGACACCGGCTCAAAACCTTTAAGAACAATATTTTTTTCGATTGGAAATGATAGGGTCATTAACAATAATACTACCAACGTTAAGCAAAAAAAATTTTTATCTCATATGGATTTGTAGTTATTCAAAATTTAGAGGTAGCCGACTACTGTCTAGTTTACCCTACATATATGTATACATACACTTACATTATATCTAATTTTCAAATATTAAATTCTTCATTTTAGGCAAACTAATAATGATAACTTTCTTTACTCTAAACTAATAAGCACATGTCTGCCTTGGGATTTCGGAATACTGGAACTAAACCAAGTCTAAGCAATAAAAAGAAAAAAATCCTTTAGGATCATAGGAACATCAATTGTTTTAAACATTAATTTAAATTAGTTAAAGTTACCCCACAGAACCGACAGGTTCCGAAAAATTTATTAAATATTCAAAACATTGCAAGTAAACAATTAAACAATTTTTTAATTTTTATTAGAAGTTTTCGGTGATGTGGGGGTTTATAATATAATATGTTACATAACTGATATTGCACTTTGGTGTAGGTTAGTATAGTATTAATAAAAAATTCGAAAGTTCTTTTAAGATATTTCAAACGATTTTTGTATAATTAAACAAATTCTAATTGAAATTAAATATATCTGCAAAATTTTTTTTAAATATTTGTTCGTATAAACAGGAAAAAATTAAGCATCTTTCAAAAAAGACCCCCGTGTCTAGCTATTTTGCAAAAGCAAGTAGTTTACGGTATTAGGGGTAAAAACAAACTATAAATACTATGTGCCAGAACATCATTTAAAAATTGTTAATTTTTATAAAATTTGACGTATGGGCGTTTTCTAGGTCGCTGATTACTAATCTGATGTTACTTTTTAAAATCGAAATGTTAGAACCAAATGACGTTATGGATAAGTTGATTTAACAAATCTAGATTGTCATTTTGACATAACAATTTGTTTCATTAATTATCGTTAAATTAATATAGGATTTAATAGAAATGATCAAATCAATTAATAATTTAATATAAAATTTATTTCATATATATTTTTTATACAAATTTATATATTTATTAATTTTTAAAAAATTGCTTAATAAATTTATGTCTGATAGATAACGCAGAGTACAAAAAAGTGAGGTTATATTCAGTAGAACTCGTGTTCAAATTACCGACAAACAAAGAAATTGTTTCTTCTTCTAAATTCCACTGTGTTAACAACTCGCGCACTTTTTTTCTTTTTCCGGAATCATACCTAACTTATAAAATCACTTAATTTAGAATAAAACACTAAAAAAGAAGAGCGGCACATATCCGCAAGACGCAAGACGCCCAAGTATACGGAAATGTACAGGGATAACAACGTGAACAATTAACCTGTCAGTCCAACAAATCCGAATTGTTTCATCAGCAATCGGCGGAAGATTTGCTTCTATAACAATACGGAATTGTAAATTGAACAGACTGATTGTAACTAATTTGTATTGTTGCTAAAACAAGATACATTTGTATTGACAACAATGCGAATTGTAATTTCAAGATTCCTAATTGTATCAACAACAAATATACTAATAACAATCCAAAAATTGTTTGCACAACAACACCTTTTTTCTCCGTTTAAAGAAGAGCAATATTTCATACCTCCATTTGAAACATACGAGCTTCACTTTACAATAATTCAGCAATTGCCGATGAGGGTTCGAGAAATTTTGTCCACAGTTGATTTTAAGGACTATAATTAAATATCTCAATCTCTCTCTCAACTTGACTTTGCTTTTCAAGAAAAAATAAATAATTATAATCAAAATATAAAACCTCGAAATCAAGCATCTAGCAATGATAACGACAAACGGCCTCAACAACAACATTCGCAAGCGTCAAGGATAGATCGCTCCGATAATTCAAAGAACGGGAATAAACCATAGCATTTAATAAATGCCAGAATACAGGCAAAGAGTTTTCGCTACGCAAATCCAAAATATAATGGTCAGTCCCGCACAGTTGAACCTTGTATTCCACTTTCAGATGTTAGTCATCTCCCACCGCATGTTCCCAAATTATCGAATAGTCAAAATCTTCGTAATTTTATTGATCAAATTATGATTATGGGGAAACAAGTTCCCGGTCAGTAATAAATCGTCATTTATATGAGGATTTTGATAATGTGATTGATGACGTGTCAAAAAGTATTGGAAAACGCAAGTGTGTGGGGTCAAATAGTCTTTCTTGTCGCGAATAATTATTTCCGTTCATTCATTTCCCGTGGCGTCGCTGGTGGATACCGGAAGTCACATTACCGCGGAATCGGATGAATTCTATGGATATTTGAAACAATATTATGACTTTATCGAGATGCCTATTTCGAGTACTGTTCTGTTTACTGCGATTGGTAAAAAGGCCACTCACATAAAAAGAAAATCATGTGTATGGTGTCGATCAAGGAGTTTACATGTCAGTAATAATTTTTAATAGTGCCCAATCTATCAAATTTCGTGATATTGGTAAACGATTAGTTGCTAAAAATAAGATGATCGTGGATTACGAAAAAAAGTTATTGTCGATGGGAAGTGTGTGTGTTTTTCGTTGATACCGTTTGAAAATTTATCTGGTGACTTAGGATTAATGCATGAAAGTAATAGAAGTCTTTTATATGTACAGGGATTGCAATTGCAGCGAGATCGTAAAAATCGCAAAAATAGGGGGAAGAATCCAGCGAATGGTTCTGATTTGATTGAATTTTGGGTATTTAGCGCTCGAGAAACGTTTGTTAATTCAATAAATTTTGTAGGAAATGATTCTAACGAGAATAATAATAGCGAGAGTAAAGTAACACCTGATATATCCATTGTGACGGTGACTCAGAAATATTTACGTGCATAATAGAATATTATACAATTGATGAAAGAAATGACAATCAAGAGTTTACCGAAATAAACTTTGAAAACGAAATTAATGATTATGAAAGCGCGCACGTAATTAATAAATTAAAAAATAGACACTAATAATAATATTGATAAAGAAATTTTTTCATATTCTAATGAAGTAAAAAAAATTGCGGATGAAATAAAAGAGAATAATGATCGAGAACGAAATTATGTTAAAAAAAGAGTAATGCAATTCGAGAAATTATTTACGTCGAAATTTAGAGTCCTCGTCAGAAACTAAAATTTTATTATAAACAATTATTAAAAAAATATTTACATTTTACACATAAATAAATAATTTTAAAAAATGTTTTTTAAAATGATGAATAAAATTAAAATATTAGTAAATAAAGAAAAAATTTAACACAAAAAAATTGTTTACCAATAAAAATTTTAAACGATGATAAAAACAAATTACTGAACATTTAAAAGTTTGCAAACTTTTAAACGTTCCGATCAAGGCGAATTGCTACCTGACACTCAACAGAGATAATTCTTGGACTGATTTTTATATTATTGAGCATGGGATTTTATTCAGGAGAGATGAGACTGTTGATCAATGGCAGGTGGTGAATCCTGGCGATCTCAGTACTCAATTAATTAGATATTAATTAGATAGTCAATAGATCAAACCGATAAATGTCCAAATTGAGGGTAAATATCGTCGAGTTTACTCGTCAGAACCTGACGATCTTAATTGCTTTGACTTTTACAATCCTCTTCCGCGATCCATTGCAGGAATGGAATATATTTTTGTTGTATATGATGCTTTTTCTGAATACTTAAAACTTTTTCCGATAAAGAAAGAAAATACGAGGATAATTTTAAATAAATTGTTGAAAACGTACATGCCGAAAATGGAAACACCTTATCAAATCCTATTTGATCATGGTACCCAATTCACGACAACTAAGTGGTTATGAACGATACAGTTAATTTCTTTATTCAATCGACGTTGTGTTCTTTGTGCAGCGTATGGAATTGCTTGGTTGAGGTTCGCTCAAGAATAGAGCACGTTATTTTCGTGCCGTGCATAACCGAGAAACTTCAACACCCTTCCAATATGAGCGCAAGTTCCAGGCATACGAACCCTAGATTTGCAGGTATAATAGAATTGGTTCTGAATCGTCATTAGGCTCGTTTTCTTCATTTGAGACGTAAGCAATCCACAGCTTGTATTTTGTTCTGTTTAGATATCTAGAGTATAGTCGAACCGATAAGACCTTTTGGTGGTGTTGCATTCTGATTTACGTTGTTTACTATTTCGAATTGGAATTCCTCTTGGTGATCTGGCTGCAACTTGTCTTGTACATATTCCTAATTACTGCAACCGTAAGGTTGCACAGCGAAAGCTTCTGCTTACAATCTGAATTGATCCTTCTGCGAACCATTCTCCCATAGCTCTCGCGCCTCGATCGAATTCACTTGGAAGAATTGCAGCATCATTATTTTGAGAATCTGAGAAGTACGAACTTTTTGAATTTTCCAATTAAGATTTTTTATCAGAATGACAAAAACTAAAAATGTACAAAGTTACAAGAAATTCCACCGAGATATTAACGCTTGTAATGACCTACACTTTCAGTTTAGTTTACACTGAATTTAGAATGAAGATGAGTCGGTTTGTAAACAACCCTCCGTATATAGGCAGTTTTCGGCGTTCACTCGGTGTTAACATCAAGTTAATTAAACTCCAATCATCAAAAATATTTACTAAAATTCTGTTGGAACTATTTAATCAGGATTAACACGGTGTTAACCTTCTAGCTCATGACTTTCTACCGGAAAAGTGGTTTCTAAATGCATACATTTTTCTTAAAGTTGGATTTGTTTGAAACTTGTTATCTAGGGGTTTTTAGGAACGCTGATTACGAATCTGAAGTCAGGTTTTGAAAATTCAAAATGGCGGATCCAATATGGCGGACGAATTTTCAAAAAATTGTTGGATTCTCATAAAACTTGGTATCTAGGGGTTATTCGAGTCGCTGAATACGAATCTAAAGTCAGTTTTTGAAAATTGAAAAAAATAAAATTGTTTTTTTTAAATTCGGTTCTTTCTTCAGTAACGTATACTACATTTAATCATTCTTTACTTTTACTCCCCTTCTATAATAATGATGGTAATATTAATTTCTGCACGTATGTTTGTTTTTTACTTTTTGACAGTTATAACGACGTGGCTTTTGATTACTACGAACAAAATTCTGTTGTTATAACCGGACTACACTGTACTTTTAAAATATCAATAAAATGAAAAATGTTTGGAGCAGGATTTATAAATCTGTTGTCCTAGTAATACTGTTTGAAAATTCAGCCCAAATTTCAGGAGGAAAATCAAAATAGAAATCTACTGATGAAAACCATAGTCACAAAAATTCACTACTCTTTCATCGTTAGGCATAATTGACTAATGCCTAGTCTTTAACAGAAAAAATCCTCTACATTTTCAGAATCCAAAAATGGCACACACTTTACAAATGTTTCTAAACTTCTAGGCAGAAACCGATCAGTATGCAATCCCCCTTCCCTCCCCTGTAGCCACTGCGACAACACCCCAAATATGGTCCTTTTGGATCGAAATCCAAAAGGGACCATACGTGGGGTGTTTTCGACGTTCACTCTCTAAGTGCTCTTAAGAGGCCAAACGTTGTTGGTTGGGTTAGGTGAATGGTAAATTTTGATTGACTAAAACTCTAAATTGACAATTTTCGAGCTCGATGTTCACGCTCGGTCTTTTAATTTCGACCATCAAATTAGAGCACGTAAATGTCAATTTAGAGTTTTAGCCAATATAAATTCACCATTTGACTAACCCAATCAACAACGTTTTGTCTTTTCAGAGCAGTCCGAGCGTGAACGTCAAAAACACCCCTTGATTCTCGCACACAATTCGAGCACACCACAACAATGTCATTTCTGAAGCCAATGATTCCCTGATAAACATAGACCCGAATCTCCACATAACGAGAAGTTCGGGACTCAAAAATTTCTCTATTACGACGGCAAAAGACATACTCCTCAGTGGTTTTCAATATTGCAACAAATGCAAAAAAGACATGCAGTAATTAAAGTTATAATATTGAGAACAACAAAGTACTCCTAGGAGCTGATTCTACTATCCCCATGAAATCTGGTAAAAACTTACAATTAGTAATTTTCTATAGTGTCTTACAAAAAATGTTATCTGTAACTAGAAAGATACTAAATTTTTACTAGATTTCATAGTGTTGTAAATAGCAAAATATTTGTGCATGCATGAGATAGTGTGACTTTACTTTCAATGTCGATCTTTATAGACAAAGGCTTATAGATAACCAAAAATACATAACTTCGATGTGCAGTTTTGGACCAGAAAAACCTCTCCACACGGATCCAAAAAGCAGGTGGAGATCATGTTGTACTATTGTAAATGAAATGCCCAAATCGTCCCAGACAAGTATTTGATTCCTTATTAGTTGACTTAAAGTTCTTTAAAAAGAACAAAGATATATGCATATCTTTCTTTAACTTATTCTTTCGTTTGTTATTATGATTATACCGTTTACGAAACTTGATGATTTTCGGGTGAAATTACCAGACTAATTGATATACTAGACTATTGATTAATACTAGATTATTGATACTTCTAGACCTTTACACTTAGGAAAGTTAATTAATCTCACAAAATCCAGCACATTCTGTATAATAACAAAATATATTTTTGCACTTATAAAAAACATGTTCTTTTCACTGCAAATCTAATCCACGAATTTTTTAAGAGATCTCTTAATTTTTACTATTATGCATGAAACTGCTTGGCATGAAAATACTTTCTGAATAACGATGTCTCCTTTATTCTGAGACTTGATTGCAGATGAAATAATGGATATAAAGTTCCTTTGTTTAAACGGCACCGTATTCGACCAGGAAACCAGAGTCTGCGAAAGGGTCGACGAGGTTGACTGCAGTAAGAGCGAAAGATTCTACAATCTGAATCTGGAACTTTATGGAAATAGTGCTGTGACCCTCAGGCACGTAAACATTCTCCACTATATCATAATTATACAACTTTTCTAAATTGTAATTATAGACTTATCTGTTGGAAACAATTATTTACTTATTTCTGATCACTTTCCATCAAACACTGTTTCGTCATAATAAGAAGGGAGTGATTCACGTGTTACTAATATTTACTCTCAAAAACGACAACTGAAGTTGTTAATGACTTCAAGCGAAATTTAAATTTTTATCTACAATTAACCAATGAATTGTTATTACGAGTCTTTTTAATACCCACATTAAATAAGCCTATTTCATATATTAATTTAAAGAAAATAAAAAATAATTTATTGTTATTTAACAGCCTTCACGAAAGAGATGAAGATGATCTACCTCCAGAATCCTTGGAAGAGCAACAGCATCGAACTTCTTCAGTAAGGCCAATTAGTACCACCACATCAACCACAACAACCTCAAGACCTAGTCAATCATCAACGACTGCTTCTAATAACAATTTTCAACACTCAACTGGATATCCACAGGTCTATCAACCCCAACCAGCTTTTCCATCCGTGCAATCAAATCCACCTAAGTCTATTTATGATGACAAAAATGGAGGATATCATCATCAATATATTTATCATAATGACGATCGTAATGATAACCAAGCGACGTCCTATCAACTTTTTAATAATCAGGGTGTTAGTTCAACTACACATAATCCTCAGGTACATCAGGTCAGATACAGTTCAACTCCAAGTCGTCAAATTATTCACAATGAGCCATCCACTGTTACTCCCTTATTCCACACTTCGTCGACTATTCAAACTTTGCTAAATAACAATCCTAATGGACCTTCAATAATTAATCCAATTTTCCACAACCACGGCATTAGCAGCACTACCGAACACTATTCCATACACAGTAATATTGCTAGAGAAACTCCTGAGTATCAAGACAATGACGATGAACATGATGAAGAGAACGAACATATAGAAAATGAGGAAAGAAGGAGACTAGAACCGTTACAGTCGACAAACAAGGGAAAAGTAAGTTATATGAAATGATAATAATTACTTAAAAATTAGGTTTAAAATTATATTATGTTCACAATTGGATATTCCTTCTTATAGCACCATTCTTATTTAGACGTTATCTCTAATAAATTCCATTACCCTCTAAATTTCTCATAATTTAATCTTCTCGAGGTTTCAGGGAACTTATCAGAGAGAATTTTGGAAAATATTATTGATAACTTTTAGATAACTTCCTTGAAACTATGGTGCTATCTGAGTTTAAAAATTTTTAAATGTTACAACCGTAACATATGCATATTATTGTTTTGCTTATTTCTAATTGAAGATAAAGTTAGTAACAGTATCAATATAAAATCATGAAAAATTACTCTAATGGTATTTTTAGGTTTCCAAGTTGTCGATATCACCATTACCTCAAGAGGAGCCATCTCGATCAACAATACAAACGAAGACGAGTCAATCATCTCAACTCAACAGGGTACCAGTTAATTTCCTGCCAACGCAATCGACAATTCAGACGACGTCGAGAACATTCTATCCTACCTCTAGAACGTCTTCGAAGCCTCAAAAAATGTCGAGTCAGAGAATTATGCAGCAACACATTCATGTGCCACCTCTCCCAATCATACCAAATTTGAAGCCTCGTCAAGTAACCATTAATTTGTCTCCACCAGATATTCAAAAAATTGTACAAAACCCACCACCTTTATTACCATCTCAATCAAGAGTGATCGTCACAGCAAAAGCGAGTGTCAGTGATGAATCTGGTCGTCCACTTAATACAAGTCAACTAATAACCCTTCCACTTCCAACAATTCCCTCTAGTTACGATGACTACAAGGAAGGCGACGAATCATTTGATCCATTTTATCGAGACGTACCAAAGATTCAGAACAATCAAAGAATCGTTGTTAGCAGTAGATCTTCAAGGTCACCAAATGGGAGAATCGTTTTTCATCGATACAAACGTGATGTTTCTAAAGGAAGTAGCCGATACGTTCAAAAAGTTGATCAAAATAATTTCAATGAAACCGAAGTCTCTTCAATAGTACGAAATTTAAGAAAGCTAAAAAATATTTTTTTCGCAACCGATTTTGACGATTCTGATGAACCAAATTACTTCAATGCCGAAGAAATTCCTACTAACCTTGGATCACGTTTGAAACATGGTAACACGGATTATACAGATGATAATATAAAATTAGCGACCAATAATTCTTCCAGAGCAGAATTAGCCGAAACAAAAGCAAATAATACAAAAACATCTAAGACAATAAATTCCACCGTTAACAGAAGAAATGCGGAAACCGAACAAGTTGATAGCATCTATCGTGAGAAAGACATAAAGAATGTAGAAATACCATCTACTCTAGATGCGAAAAATTCTGAAAATGACTATTATGATGATCAGGAAGAAATTACCAACAACCGTTCAAAGATTATATTTGAAAATCCGGATATTATTAAACCTGGTAAACTAAAGGTAGAATATTACGATGAAGAGGAGGAACTTCCAAATATAAATTATAAAGAGAGAAGTGAAAATATAACTGCAATAACAAGTTCAACTACTGAAGAACCAGAAGTCGAGGAGTATGTTTATGATCCCGATGAATTATATTCTGAAGAATTTTATACATCTACCAAAGCTCCAACTACGATTTCGATAACTCCAAAAACTCAATTAACTTCTGAAAATCCAACCAAGTTTCCAAAAGTTGAAACAACTACAACCGTAAAATCAACTACAACACCATTCTTAAAATTAAATTCTAATAACTTTTCAAGTACAAAAAGGCCGGATTCATTAATTACTGAAGATTATACTGAAACAAAGGGAAAAATTTCTATTTTAAACAAAGAAGATACAAAATCTTCGGAGAAAGTAAATATTCCTGAACTTGGTGTTACAGAAAGTGTATCTGGTTTAAATTTTACTCAACCTGATATTAAGGACAGTAAATCCGTCAATTTAAATAAACTTGCAACCAAAGACACTGTTACATCAGATTCAGCTTTAAAGAAAGAATCTAAAGAATTACTGGAGACAAAGTCGTCGTCGAATCGTAAAAAATCTAAGTCTTCTGAAAGTACAGAAATTTCAGAAGAAAAAATTGTAAAACATAAAAGACCTCAATATTCTGAAGAAGAAGAAGAAATTGACATACCAAATAAATCTAGACGTAAAAATAAATACATTCCTGATTTTGATTATTTAGAAGACGACGATTACGAAGATTACTCTGAAGAGCGAAGATTAGAACGACGGAAACAAAATAACAAGCGGCGAAAAGCACATTCTCAAAGCAGAAGCCGATTAAATGATTACGATACTGATGATCTTCGATCAAGAAGTTTTTCAAGTCGGCGAAATTCACAGCGAGGTAGAAAGACTGATGATAATAAAGACAGAGGAAAATCTTATAAAAATGTTAGAGGAAGAAAGAAACCCATTTTAGTAGAATCTGAATCAGAAGAATTAGATTATCCAAGCGAAGATTATTATTCTGATGAATTGAAAAATACATCTTTAGATGATGATTCGTACGAGTATGAGCTTGAACGAGAGAGAAACCAAAGAAACAAAGGTCGAAGAAATAAAGGTTTACGCTACGAAGATCCTCATCGAAGATCTAACAATCGCAGAAAAAACCAAAGCAGAAAATTTAGAGATGAATACGCCGATTATGACTCCCGAGAAGCTTCAACTTTTTCAAGTCGTGAGGACGAAAGTTCTTCCGACTGGTATTATCCAACATCAAAAGAACTTCCCGATGATTCACAGACGGACATAATTGAAGAAGTTTACACGGAAGACTCCAGAAATTTGGATGATGTCACAACATCTGTAGAAGATCTCACGACCGAATTATCTTCTGAGGAGGAAACTTCTGTTCAAGACGAGCTACCTTCCTCTAAAGATGAGATATCATCTGCCGAAGATGTAACATCATCCATTGAAGATGAAGTACATCAGGAGGATGTTCAACAAACAACAGAAAAAGTTTTAGAAGTGACAGGGAAAAGAATATCGGAATCAAATCTTGAAGAAAGCAAAACCGAAGGAGTACTAAAATTCACAGACGAATTATCGCAAGATGAACGATTAAGTACAACAACCGAGACGACTATTGAAAGTCCAATGAAAGATCAAAAACAAAGTTCAATAAAAGACATGCAAGATTATGTCGATGACAACTACGAGCCCAACAATTATAAAGGTACAAAGATGAATAAATATGTATTTATTGAGCGAAATACAACTGAAGAACAACTGCAAAACAATGATAATAAGGATCTTGTGGAATTGAAAAAGGAAAAAGAAACAAAATCGAGATCTGAAGAGCAGGTTAAATTGAATGACAAAAACATAAAACGAATAAAACCTGAGAGCAATGATTATAGCAAACATGAATTAGGTGAAATGGACCTCACAGATAATAATTATGAAATGAAATTAAATAAAACGAAGATTGAAAAGGTTGAAGAACGAGAAACTACTACTACTACTCCAATAATTACCACATCGAGAACAACAAGAAGAGGTACACGATCGACAACAAAAGCAACAGCTCGAACAACGCCTCCTAAACTATTCAAGCCTTTAACTGGTAAACGAAATTATCTTTTTATTCCACCCTCGACAACTCCACTTCCGGTTGTAATCAAACGGAGAATTTCCCTCGTACATCCTCGACCTGCAAAGCCTCCAAAATCTTATAATGAACTTGCTCCAAAACCAGTCATCAGGAAGAAGCTTTTAGAAGCAAGAAAATCAATAATTGAAACCACTTTGACTTCCACCACATCAGAATATGAAGACTATTTACAAATGACTCCTGAGCCCATAGGGTCTTCTGAAAATTCAAAATCCCAAATAGTAACAGAAGACAATTTGCAAACTACATCGGAAACCGTTCTTGAACAAAAGATAATTTCAGATAACTTGGATGAACTTTTTCCTACAAAGGAGAATTACGATAACTCAGCAACAGGTAACTCTACAAAGGAAAATAAAGATAAAGCAGAGCTAGAGAATAAGATAAATAGGGCAAAAATTGAAAATAAGAAAATAGATGACAAGCAGAATGCTGAAATAATTAAAGAAAAAACTGAAGAACTGGAAGAAGACAAAAACGAGAGGAAAGAAACTACAGCTGTAGACGATTACATAAAATATCCTTACTTACTTTCTAAATTATCTACAACGACTTCTACAGAAAAAACAACTGAAGGAACTACAAAGGAAACTGTTGAAAAAATAAAAAAAGATGCTTCTCCCGACACTGTTACTAGTGTAACAACTGAAGTTCCAAAATTAACAACTGAAATTCCAAAATCAATTGAAATAGAATCAACTCCATTTTCTAAACCAGACAAATTTGAACCAAAGTCTGAATCCACAAAACCTGAGATAACTCTTCTCCGATCATCGATAATACAAAAAACCTCCAAAAGAACAAAGAAAGAACCGTCAAATGTGGGTGGAACCTATCAAGGATTTAATTGTCTTGGAAAGGAAATGTATCGTTTCTATGGTGATAAAAGAGATTGCAGATTGTTTCACTATTGTTCACCAGGATTCACGTCGTCGCAGGTCCTTGACTTTAAATTCGTTTGTGAGCAAGGAACTCATTTTGACGAGTCAACTCAAAGTTGCAGGCACAACTATAAAAATTCCGAATGTACTGTAAGAATTTTCTGGTAAACAATTGGTCCACATGAATTTCGAAAGTTATTTTTAATTTGTTACCTTTTCACAAGGATGTCAATCCTGGTAAGAAAGCTAATATTAAATTATATTGGAAAATTTGTTTTTGAGACATTAACCTTTAATATTAAACATGCGAAAAAGTTCACAAAGTGCTACTTTATCAATCAATGTGTAAAATATTTCATTTTCAATGAGTAGGTAAAGTAAATTAACTAGACCACCGGTGGCATAGCAATTGTGCGATGTCTATTTTTTTAATGACTATGAAATAACTTTAAACTTGAAAAAAAATAATAAATACAAATTTTTTCCCTTTTTATTTTCAAAGGACATAAAATTTTGAAAAAATGACTTCTTTATGACATAAAAATATTGAGTTTTCAATCAGGTATTTAAGGGGACATTCCAGTTCAAAACAGGCAAAAAGAAGGCTTTTTTAGTGTATATTATTAAAATAACTATGACATTTATTTAAAAAATATCTTTTACATGTAATAAATAATTTATTTAAGAATTTGTAAAAAAAAAAATTTTTCATTTTTATTTCAAAATGGCGGCGATATACGCCATTTTCGAAAATGCCCATTTTCGGTGGTACGATCGATTCCAAACTTTCTAAAACAGATAAAACCAAAAACGAAGTCACATTCTCTTCGTTAGATATTTCTTTAGGGGTGGAACCTCAAAAAAGTGGAATTTTCTTCCCCCCCTTTTTTTAGAGTACTTTTTCCCCAAAATATTAAAAAAAAAAGTGTTTTTATTCAGAATTTCTCTTATAAAAAAAAGGGGGGGAAGAAAATTCCACTTTTTTGAGGTTCCACCCCTAAATAAATATCTAACGAAGAGAATGTCACTTCGTGTTTGGTTTTATCTGTTTTAGAAAGTTTGGAATCGATCGTACCACCGAAAATGGGCATTTTCGAAAATGGCGTATATCGCCGCCATTTTGAAATAAAAATGAAAATTTTTTTTTTTACAAATTCTTAAATAAATTATTTATTACATGTAAAAGAAATTTTTTAAATAAATGTCATAGTTATTTTAATAATATACAATAAAAAAGCCTTCTTTTTGCCTGTTTTGAACTGGAATGTCCCCTTAACAAATACCCCATTTTTAATAATTTGCCTAACTTATTTATATCTCCCAAAGAAATTAACGTTCATAAGTTCATTTGAATTGTTTTTTTTAATACAATTAAGATGTTTACAATCTCAATTCTACAAAAAAATACGATTAAAATGGACCTATGAATGATAAAAAATGTTATTTTTTTAGAGATATAAAGAAATTAGATAATTCAATCGAAAGTTGGGTATATGTTAAATATCTGATTGAAAAATTAACATTCTTTTGTCGTTAAGATGTAATTTTTTCAAATTTTCGTCCGTTTTCTGAAAAGAAAAAGGAAGAAAACTTGGACATTATTTTTTCAAATTTAAAGTTATTTTATAGTCACTAAAAACACAGTAAATTGTGAGGTATTAAAAAGCGCTGTAGATTAAATTAATACCAAAAGAGATTAAAATAATACATTTTGGTGTTATTTTTAACTATGAATGAAATTTGACTTCAAATCAAAACCAAACTAACGATTTGTCAAAGTCGAAGTCATATTCACAGTTGTAGTTTAAGTCAAAGTCAAAATCTAAGACTAAGACTTTGACTAAGACAAAGCATTAGTCAAAGTCTTAGACCAAGTCTAAGTCTTAGTCTAGGCTTAGCCTTAGCATAAGTTTTAATCTAAGTCTTAGTCTATGTTTATAGTACATGTTTTTGTCACAGTCTAAATCATAGTCTAAGTCTTAGTCTTACTCAAAATCTTCGACAAAGCCTAAGTCTAAGTCATATTCTAAAGCTTAGTTTTAGCCAAAGTCTAAGTCTAAGTCTTAGTGTTAGCCTTAGTCTAAATCTTAGTCTAAGGCTTAGTCTTAGCCTAAGTTTTAGTCTAAGCCTCTGTCTAAGTCTTAGTCTATGTTTTAGCCAGAGTCTAAATCTTAGTCAAAGTCTTCGTATGAGTCTTAATCTTACTCAAAGTCTTAGTCTTAGTCAAAGCCTTAGTCTAAGTTTTAGTCAAAGTCTTAGTCAAAGTCTTACTTTAAATCTTCGTCTAAATCTTAGTCTAAGCCGCAGTCTAAGTCTAAGTCATATTCTAAGGCTTAGTCTTAGTCTAAGTCTTAATCTAGTTGCTCAGTCTTAGTCAAAGCCTTAGTCTAAGTCTTAGTCAAAGTCTTACTCTAAAACTTAGTCTAAGCCTCAGTCTAAGTCTTAGCCTAAGTCTAAGTCATGTTCTAAGGCTTAGTCTTAGTCTAAGTCTTAATCTAGTTGCTCAGTCTTAGTCAAAGCCTTAGTCTAAGTCTTAGTCAAAGTCTTACTCTAAATCTTCGTCTAAATCTTAGTCTAAGCCTCAGTCTAAGTCTTAGCCTAAGTCTAAGTCATATTCTAAGGCTTAGTCTTAACCCTAAGTCTTAGTCTTAGTCAAAGTCTAAGTCTCAGTGTTAGCCTTAGTCTAAATTTTAGACTAAGTCTTAGTTTATGTCAAAGTCTTAGTCAAAGCCTTAGTCTAAGTCTTTCTCAAGATCTTAGTCAAAGTCTGAGCCTAAGTCTAAGTCTTAGCCTTAGATTTTAACTATAACTATGAATATGACTTCGACTTTGAAAAATTGAAAGTTGGTGTTGATTTGAAGTAAAATTTCATTCATTGTCAAAAATAACACCAAAATGGATTATTTTAATCCTATCTGGTGTTAATATAATCCTAGAGGGATTAAACTGTTGCATATTATTTTTATCCATTCTGTTGTTATTTTAACACCTCACTATTTACCGTAAAGTGGAATTAGTTTTAAAGTAATAATTTTGTTTTTGTTCCTTTTAGTGTCATAAATTTTTATGATTTCTTTTAATTATTCGCAGCATTGCCCAAGTAGCCTGTAAGCTTGCAGGAAATTTTCAAGCTTGCTGCAAGTTGGAATAGAAACACCTAAAAAAATTGAAATTAAACCTAAAACTTGTTTTTTCTCAAAGGGGGACTCTAATGATTTTTTTTTAATATATACCTAGGATCAAAAATATTTTATACCACATCTTTTAAGTTTAATTCATAAAATAAATTACAATTACCTTATACAAAAGTAGGTATTCATTCATTCGATTTTTATTATACTTGCAATTACGGGGTCCAATTGTTGATAGATAGGTACTTTTTGCAATTAAAATTTTCCAATATTTTAAAGTAAGCTTTCCTACCGAGAAACATAATTTATTCATTGCTTTTCAAAACTTTTGAATCTTATAAATTATTTAGTTGTAATAATATTTACTAAAAGAAGGAGAAAAAGAAGTTATCAATGACTTTTATATGTAAGATATATTATTTATATACTGTAAGAAAAGTTTCGTGTTATTCATAATAAGAAAACACTGATGAGTTATGACTGACATGAAGGTTTTTCTACTGTATATAATATTGTTTTATGGCTTCGTCCCCAACAGCCTCTTCATTTCCTCAGCTTTGCCATAATTCTCATTTGTTTCTACAAGGATTCACATTAACTTGAATAAATATGAATCCCGGTAGATGCTGATCAGTATTTTTCTAGATCAGTTCAACGAGTCGTATCGACTTAAGAAACTACCATTCTGCAAGCCACATAGACATTTTAATAAACGTTCTATCTCTAATTATTAATAACTCGAATTAACGATCTTTATTTTAAAAAAAAATACTCAACTCTATAAAGATCGTTCAATAATTTATATAATAGACATATCATTTTTCAAAAAGACAAATAATAATGCTCAAGTGAGATATAAAATGTTAAAATTTTCGTCCATTAAAGCGAAAAGTTAATCATAAGAAAGAGACCGTATCGTTCTAAAAGTCAGACTGCTATGCATATAATTAAGAAAATTATACATCGAGGAAAAATTAATATACATATTATTATTTATATTTATGTAGGGATTTAATAATTTTCTTATAAATATGATTTTCCAAAAGCAAAGTGTTTTCAAAAAAAGGAGAAAATAATCATTTTCAAGAAAATAGAGGAGTATTTATTTTAAATAATTTTAATACAGGAGCCTCATTATAAACAAAATTTGAAATTTACTCAATCTAAACAAAATAAAGAATAGTTTATTTTTAACAAAGTTCAAATTTAATTCATTGAATTTGAAATTTGGAGAAATTAAGAAAACTCTCATTTAAAAATTTAAACAAACAAAAAATCGATAAATTTTCAATTAGAAAAATAATTTATGAACAACAAATATAAATTTTTAAAATATTTTAATATACGACTATAATAATCTATAACTTTTCTCAAAAGAAAAAGTTTTGATAACAAATTTGTAGGTAATGAAGTTATTAAAAGCAGAATAAAAAAAGAGATTTGTCATTTAGACAAAAAATTCAATTTTTTAATATAAAGTTTTGTTGAAATAAACTTTTAACAAAAAAAAAAATATTTAAAAACAAACAATAATTATCAAATATATTTTCTTTAAAAATTTTATAATTTCAAATTGACGTCAAAGAGCCAATATTTTGGTAAAATATTTATTTATTTGCTTCCAAATTGTTAAAACGTTAAATATTTTGTAACATTAGTTAATAATATTGTTTATTTTTACTCAAAATTTAAATATTTTATAATTTGTTAAAATTATTTAATTTCGAATTAATAGAAAAATAGTTACTATAGGTTGAAAAAAAAATTAATTATTTTTGATTCGGTAATGTTTTGCGTTCTCTTTAGAATATAATAGAATTGAACTATTTTTCCAATTTTTTAAACTAAAGTATATTGTAAGATTTACAAGTTAACTTGTTTTAAATTTAATGTTCACTTTACGAGAAGTTATAATTTAAAACAATTACGTTAAAAAATTTCTATAACAAATTTTCTGTAAATACAGAAAATTTTTAATTAAAAAAATTATTGTTTAAAAGAAGCAATTTTTGAATTAAAATTTTTGATTAATATAAAATTGATACATTTTCTTAAACTTAAAAATAACAAAAAGAAGACTGTTTAGATCCGTATGTAATATAAAAATCAACCAAAAAAAGATAAGAATAAGAGAGAAAAAAAGGAATTTTGAAAATGTAAGAAAATATGGAAAAAACTGAAGACTAGGAAGAAAGTTAGATATTTTTCCTTCAATCGATGTCTATTGGTTTATGGAGGGATAAGAAATTCAACTTTTTTGCATTTTACATTCTTTAAAATTAGTGTTATTAAACTTGTTAATTATAGCGAGTTAGTCTATTTAGTAATATAATTATTTAAAGCTGTAGGATAAGAATTTTAATTAAGAAGTTTAATAAAAGCTGAAAAATTGTAAGATGATGGTACATGATAAGTTAAATAATTCAAGTTTGTTTATAAAAAAATTAACATATTATTAACTGTTCGTAAATGACAGCGGTTAATATTTAAAATATTTTATATTTTTATATTCCCTCCAAAAATCTAAACGTTACAAGGCAAAATATCTAATCAGGATTTTTTACATTTAAAATGAGAGCTCTCTATTATCTTAAACTAAAAATACTCAGCTGCCAAATGTTTATATCCTTTCATTGTACGTATAAATATGAAGAAATACGAGACAGAATAAATTGTGGTCTTAACTTTTATATACCTATTTATTAAAACAGTAAAAATTAGAAAATTAACAATGACGACCAAAATCTTTTTTAAAAAAAATATCTATTTAAAAAAATCAAATATTTTTCAAAAACGTGTTCTGTAGTAAATAAAGAAGATTTTGTGCATTGTTTTTATACATTTTTGTCAATGAACTATGAATAAGTTAATTTCAAAAATTAACTTTAATTAATAATTATAAGTTTTCCAAGTTAATTTTAAAACTATTTCTCTCGTTTCTCTTAAAATAACTAAAAAAGTGTATTAGAAATTAAATAGTTATTTACTTAACCTTATAAATATTAATTTTAAGTTTTTGAAAAATATCATTCCAAAATTTTTAAAAAGTTTCTAATAAAATCATGTTTTCAAGTTATTTACAAGTGTTTAAATGATAATTTTATGAAGTTTATATTTTATTGAAGTTAGTTGTTATTTGCTTTTTTGTTTCCAAACTTTTTTCATAACTTTTCTTTCGAAAGATTTTCAATTTTAAAATTAATGTATTGAAAATCATTGATTTCTTGTAATAAATTTTATCAAAAAATTTGAGAATAATTGAATTCCTTCGAAGAATTTTATTATCTATGAAAATAATTGAATTCTCGCGAAGGATTTTATTAAAACTTTTACAAATCCGAATTAAATTCTTTTCAAGAGTTTTTTCTTTTTCAAGAGTTTGTTAAAATAATCGTTTCTTAATAATTAAAATTAAAGATTTCATTATTGAATTTTATTAAAATTTTTAAAAAATAATTAAATTCTTCTGAGAATTTTATTACAATTTTTTAAAGCAATTTATATCATTCCAGAAATTTCATTAAAATATAGAAAATAATTCAATTCTTTGAAAAAATTTCTTTAATTTATTGAATATAATCGATTTTGTTAATAATTTTAATTAATTACTTCAATATTAAATTTTTTTTTAAAATATTGATAGAAAGTTAAACTTTTTTAAAAAATGTTATTAGAGTTTTTGTAAATAATTTAATTTTTGCAAAGAATTTTACTATTTATAAAAATAATTGAATTGTTTTGAAGGATTTATTCAAATTTTATAAAATAATTGAATTCTTTCGTGAAATTTTATTGAAAATAATTAATTTTTCCAAAGATTTTACCATACAAAGAAATAATTGAATTGTTCTAAAAGATTTATAAAAATTTTAGAAAAAAATTATTGAATTCTTTTGAAAAATTTTATTAAATATTTGTTAAAAGCAATTGAATTTCTGCAAAGAATTTTACTATTAATAAAAATAATTGAATTTATTTGGAAACTTTTATATCGAATTAAGTAAAAAATTGAATTCTTTCGTGAAATTTTATAAAAATTTTGTTGACAATAATAATTTAATTTTTGCAAAAAAATTTACTGTTTATAAAAATAATTGAATTGTTTCGAAGGATTTATTATAATTTTAGAAAATAATTGAATTCTTTAGGAAATTTTTAAAACGTATTAAGAAAAAAATTGAATTCTTTCGTGAAATTTTATTGAAAATAATGAATCTCGAGAAAATTTATTAAAATTTTGTTGAAAATAATTGAATTTTTGCAAAAATGTTTACTATTTACAAAAATAATTGAATTCTTCCGAAGAATGTTATTATTTATAAAAATCATTGAAATTTTGGGAAGAATTTAATCAAAATTTTTTAATATAGTTGAATTCTTTGAGGTAATTGTATTTGAAATTCTGAAAAATTAGTTTTTAAATTCTATAAAAAGAAAATTAATTTTTCAAGAATTATATATGAAAAAATTGACATAATTAAATTTTATTAACAAATTGTATTTTTTTCTAATTTTTATAGAATATAATTTAATATTTTACAAAAAACTTCTTAAAAATCTGGAAAATAATTGAATTTTTATAATAAATTTTACAGACAATTTTAGAAATAATTGAATTTTTGAGATTTAATCACTTTTAGAATTATTTGAATTATTTTTTAAATAATTAAGTTTTGAAATCAATTGAACTTTCTGAAGTTTTAAAGAAGATATTTGAATATTTTTCAAGAAATTTATTAAACATTTTGAAAATTAAGAAATTTTACAAAAAAAAAACATTTTAAATAACCAGAAGGAAACGTTATTTAAAATTTTTTTGGTCGTCATATTGAAGCCAGAATTCCAATTTATATGTTGTTTTAAAATTAAAATTCAGAGATTTGGAAGGAATTAAATAATTTGGCATTTATTTTTTTCTATATTTAATATTATACATTATTTAAAAGAAAAGCTTTTTTTTGTAACAATAATTTTAAAAAATCTATTTTCGTTTAAAAAAAACATTTTATAAAGAAATGAAATTATTTTGCATATTTAAAAACTACATTGTTGTTAAAAAAGTATCATTCGATGTTTATTATATATATTTATATTAATAAATAAAACGAAGTCTACAACCAATTCTAAATAAAATGCAAAAGTGACAGTAGAATTTGTTTGAGACTCCTCATCTCTTTTCAAGACGCTGTTTAGTTCATCTTTTGCTTTAATTTAAGAGATTTTTATATAATATTAGCACTAAAGTCTAAGCGAGATAATTTAGTACTTTTATGTTTAAAAACCGAGCATGTTTTTGAACTCTTTCCATGAAATTTTGTAGTCATGTAGTTTGTACTTCTTACCTCGAACATTTATAGAAAAGAAAATTCGAAGTACAACTCGCATAGATTTATTAAATTATATTTTTAAGTCTAATAGATATTACTGTATTTGTAATTTAAATTTTTGTATCAGTTAAGGTTCATCTTTAATTGCTCAAATGCACAATCGATACAAACGTATAATTACTTGTATTATTTATAATAGTTTTCTAAAGCGCTTTTATACTTGCTGAAATATTTTTCTTCAATGTCCAATTTTAATTATAAATCAGCAGTATAAAAATCAATGTTAGTCACGTTAATTTAATGTACAAAACATAAAAAAATATAATTATTCTTTTTCGAATAATTAATTAATGAAATAATTAATTTTTGAAAAGAATAATTATTTATTTGAAATTATTATAATTTAATCAACCATTAATAAACTAGAACTTTTAGTAGGGCTAGTTAATTTAATCGATTTTTTACACATAAAATGTCATTGTGCAATTTATTCTTAATATGGAAATTTTTTTTAATAACAATAAAAAAAAATTAGGATATACTTCTTTTTTTCGAATTATATATTAGCATTATTATTATTATTACTATTATTATATAATCAAATAATGAATATTTATTTTCGTTATTATTTTGTAAATGTTGTAGAAATTATTTTTGAATACAAACAATGTTAAATATTGCACTATTCGTGACATGTAGATAAAAAAAATTTTGCGAAAAAACTGAAAATAAGTAATTGAAAAATTTTTAGAAATATAATTGTAAATTTAAAAATTTATCATTGCTATTATCGATAAATTGAAAAAATATTACAGTGTCATAAATTATTATTGTGACATACGACTGTCATTAAACGTCCATTAGAATTTTAATTTATAATCTTATAGTAATAAGGAATAATTTGAAAACTAAAATGTGTAAATATTGTCTTTCGTGACTTCCAAATTTTTTATATTAAAATTCATGAAAATAAATAAGCCTTTATTTGCATTTATGCAACTGTACGACCCTTCAAATACAATAATTTATTTTTAAAAAATTAATCAGGTGAAAAACACCATTACACCTTTGCAAATTCTTTAACAGTTTCTCAAATTGCAAAACAATTTTTGTATTTGTGATTTTTTTTGCATTATGACTAAAATATAAATATACAAAGAAATGAAATTTTTTATTTTTATTTTTAAAAATTATTTCTAATAATAACGAAATTTTTTACTTATTCTGTAATTTTGTATGGATTACAAATTTTAATATTTCGAAGAATTATATTTTTAAAAAATTAATGGAAACTAACAGTTTCAGTTATTTTAAGAAACTTTTCCTTCACATTAAGCGTTTTATGTTCATTTCTTTGTAGAAGTCTTCTAACGTTTGTTCCCATCGTTCTTCAAAATAAATGCCGAGAAGAAATTTGGAATTCTTTCCTGTATTTATGGCCCAAGGTAGGTAATAATTAGAGTACAATTTTCTTTGTCTAAAATCAAATTGTAAAGAGAGAATACATTTTTTAGTTCAGTATTTAATTTTTCTAAAAATAGACACACTTTCTATTTGTACTCAAATATTAACATTATTTACTGTCTATTTAAGTTTTCAACTAATGTACTTTTTATAACTATTGTGTTTGATAGAATTAAACGAATTTTCAATAAGTTAAAGAATTATATTCAAATACAACGAATATCAGATAAAGTAGTTTTAAATTTTTATATAAATTTTTAAAAATAAAAAATAATATTGCAATTATTGAGAAAAATTATTTCAAAAACATCTATTTTATTTTTTAATGAAATTTTATTTTTTTTTAACAAAAAATAGAAAATATTTAACTTTTTAAAAACAGGTCACACAAAAAAAATTTTTTTAATTTACTGTAGCTATTATATACATTGTCTAATCTTTAATATACATAATCAAATTGTCATTTTCTTCTAAATGATTTTTTATATTTCTATAATTGAAAGAAGAATTTAAATTTATTTTGGTGGAAGCATAAAGAATTTAATTTTCAACATTTTAAACAATTAAAAATTGCATTTTAATACAAATTACAATTTTCTCTCAATAAGAAACGATTTTCGTGTATAACATAATCTAAAATTTAACAAATATTTTTTTTGTCAAAAAAATTGGATTTTTTAATCGAATGGAACTTTTAATTGTTCAAAATGTTAAAAATTAAATTTATACCCTTCCACCAAAAGTAATTTAAAATTTAATAATAAAATAATAACAGGCCTCGGATATTGTGAATTTTTCGATTATTTTCGACTATTTTCAAAAAATGTGACTCTTTTTTACTTATTTTCAAAAATTTCTACTTTCTTCGACTTTTCTTCCAAGTTTTGTCACAAAGACCACATTTATGGTATAAAAAAATTATTTTTGAATGATTTTTTTAATTAAATTTTTGAAATATACAATAAAAAAAAAAATTTTTCAATAATTAAAATTTTGTAAAATTTAACTGAAAATAATTGTTTCTTTTCAAGTATTTTATTACAATTTTTGAGAAGTTTTAATTGCAAATTTTGAAAATAATTGAATTCTCAAAAATTTCAATAAAAAATCTTCGAGTGTAAAATAAATAAATGAAAATTAATAAAAATTAGCTTCTAAAAATTATATTAAGGTCATGTTATTTAGTGGTCACGTGCTCCATATACTTTACTATGGGAACACGTGACCACTGAATAACATGACCTTAAAATATTTTTTAAAAAAGTAATACCTACTTATAGAATTTTGTTCTTGTAATTTTTTAAAATTCAATTCTTTTCAATAATTTCAATTACATATTTCCGAAAATTTAAATACGTAAAAAAAATAATAATATTAAAATTTTTTAGAATTATATTTAATACTTTGGAGAAAACAATCATGTTCAAAATTTTTTATTAAAATTCAACAAAAAATTAGTTTCTTTTAAATTATATAATTGAATTTCTTTAAAGAATTTTTATTCTTTAAAGAAATTCAATTATTATTTTCGTAAAATTACATTGTAATATTTTTAAAAAACTGAGCCTTATAATTGTTTTATTATAATTTTATAAAATTCATTTTTATTAGATTTATTTTTGTTCGAAGATAATTATCTTTTAATTCAAACAAAATAAATTAAAATTTTTCAAATTTACTATTTTAGACTTTTTAAACTTAAAATTACAGTTCTTCATAAAAATTTGATTATTTCTTTTTATATTTTTCAAAAATTCAATTATTGTTAAAAAATTTAACATTAATTCTATAGATTTTATTATTTTTCAATTGTATAAATTAAAAACCTATACACTTTGAAAAATTATTTAAGAATAATTATATTTGAAAAATTAATTTTTAAAATTTCTTTATTATAATTTTTTAAAAATCAGTTACTTTCACTATTTTTGGTAAAATATTTTCAGTAATGCATCTTAATAACTTTGATAAAAAAGAACCGTAAACCGTTACAGTTATAAAAAATATGGAAAATTTAATTTTTGTCTTTAAATAATTGGAAGAAAAATTAAAAATAATTGATTTGGAAATGAAGTTTATTTAAAAATTGTAGAAAATAATTTAATTTTGGAACTTACAGGGTGGCCACTTTTTTCATAAAAAAAAATCACGGTCATTTCCCGGTCATAAAGAATAACTCTGAAAATAAATTATTCCATGAAAGATTGAAAGAATTCCCTGATTTTTAGACAAAACTTTGACTTTTTCCCAAACCTTAAAAATATTTTAGTTTACTCTAAAAATAATTAAAACTCCAAAATATGATTATAATACATTTTTTTGAATATCTTTAACTGTAAAATTATTTGGAACTTAAATAGATTTTTTAAAATAAATATTTAATTATTATCCATTATTTTTCCATAGGTATTAAGATTTAAAAAAAATTCAAATTTCAAATCATTTAAAATAGAATAATTTTTAAGAATTGCCACTGTAATTTATTAAAAATTATTTTCAAAATTTCAATTCAATATTAATTTAACATTTTAAAATATAAAAAAAGTTGCATATGAATAATTGTAAGTTGTAAAAAAACGAATTGATATTAAAATTTTTATTTTTTATTTACTTTATTATTTATTATTTAAAAATTAATTAATTTTTTATAAATTTCGTATCACTTTTGTTCTAATTAGTTCCAGTTTTTAATAATTCAAATTTGTTTTGTTATAATATTATTGCAAACAAATTTTTTAATTGATTTATTTTTCACTATTTTATAGGATGTGAAATTTTTTCATCGAATTTAATAAAAATTTTATTTTGTTTAATTATTGTTAGAAATAGAAAGAATTTAAAATTAAATTTAATATTTTCTTTTTTTAAGTCTGCTACGTTGGACAACAAAATTCATAATTTTCTTATAAATTCTAGAAATTGAATATTTTTATAGTACTTTTGATAAAATTTCCCTGACAATATAAAACGATTTTATAGAAGATCATTCAATCTTTTTTAATGAAAAATAATTAATAAATCTTAAAATAAATATTTCTTTTTTTTCTCACAAAATAATCAGTGTTTTTAAAAAAAATTTCCAAAATCCCGGTCAAGATCAAAATTCACCGTCATTTCCCGGTTTTTACCGGTCCAAAAAAATTCCCTGGGTTATAGTTGTAATTTTAAGAAATTATTAAATTTCAGGTTTTAATTTGAAATTTTTCTAATTTTATTTCCCATGAAAAAATAAATAATAATTATTTAAATGTTTATTTGAAAAAATTACTCAAGTTTTGAAAAATTTAATTTAATGTCGATCCGAGGCCTGTAGTAATGACTCTTGTCATTAGCTACTTAATGAAATTCACCTTGGACGGAGTCTAGCTGCACCTAAAATTGCTCCGTTTATACACATCGGAAGTTGTAGCTGTAAAGCTTCCACCCACTTGACAGTAACTTCGCCAAGCATAGTAGTGGGCATTAAAAGTATTGCATGAAAGATATCATGCACTTCTCGATATCTTTGCATAACGTACGATAACTGGAAATCTTCTACAAACCGAACAGGTGGTCTTGAATCTGGAGAAACATTCTGCAAAAAGTAATTTTTGATAAATTCTAAAAATTTTCCTCTTTCTTATTAAAATAAAAGAATTTATAAAATAAATAGAAAATCTCTTACGTTCACTTCCAAAAAGGAAGAGTAAGTTTTTCCAATAGTTGCATCGGGGAGATTTTTAAGAGCCATTAAATCAATAGTAGAAGAATGAATTCTAGGTCTTTGATCAAGAATTCGTTGTCCCTCAGTTGTACTCCGCAATTGTTTTTGACAATAAATTAACGCTTTTTCACCGGTCGTTTCACCGAGACAAGCAATCATATCGCCTCGATATGGATTCGTTATGGAAACAAAAGCAGAACCTGCAGCTAATAATGTACGTTGAAAATTTGTCAAAGGCACATGATATTTAACAAAATCCTCTTCATAGCCTTTTTGACTACAAAATCGTCTGAATACGAAATTCCCTGAAACCGAACAAGGAAAACATAATATTCAACACCAAATGACCGATTAAGAAAATTTATTAATAATAATAGTTTTTTTTATTAATCATTCAATTTACATGCGTAGAAATTATTCTCACTAACAAAAATTTATTTTACAGCATTTTACATACTTGAATTACTATTATTATCATTATTAATTATATTCATTAAATTCATTATATTAATTATATTAAATATAATTAATAATTAATTTTTTAAATTACGAAATTATTTGGTTTTCTTAGCCATTTTTATATGGCACGTCATTCCTAGAAGTATCATTTTTGCTTTGGTACATGTAGCAGATACTCATTCACACTCGAACCAAAACTCATTCTATTTCATTCAAACACAATTGAAAGATTTCGATCACAGAATTTAATGTACAATAAAAATCGATCATAGACAAAAAAAATTTAATAACAAATAATAATAAACAGGATGACGATTTGCTTTCTTAAATATTAGGTAATTATAACAATTCTTATCTACACTTTTTCGAAATATTTTAAACGATACTTACGGCATATAATATTATTTGCACATACATTTTCGCCTAAATCGGAAATTTTAGTTATATTATAATTGAAATTACGCAACAACTGACAGTAAATTAATTACAATCTGCATTTATAGAGGCACTATGAAGTTCAGATTTAATAAAAACTATTCAAGTATTTAATAATTAAATTTTAGAATTAACATACTTAAATAGACACTGACGTCATGCTATAGTCGTAATTTAATAATATTTTTAATAATTTGCCGACAAAATTTTGGCAAATCATAGAATCAAGATAAGCAGACGATACTTTTCTGAAGATTGTTGACTTATTCTGAATCCGAATTTGATTTATTTACATATATCTTTAATTGTAAAATTATTCGAAAAGATCAATAACTTTATTTTTAAATAAATATTTAAAGATTATTTTCCGTAGAAATTAAGATTTTCAAAAACTTCAAATTCAACAACTTAAAGGAATATTATAAAACACGAAGAAATGGATTACTCCGAGTCTTCGACTCGGAGTAATTTACTTCTTCATGTTTTATAAACAATTAAAGCTGATCGAGTGATAAAATCATTATTTATTTATTATATTATAATTATTATTATTTCATCATTTCAATTCAATTCTTATTTTCTAGAATTTTTAACTAAAATTCTACTTCAAATTAATTATATTTATTATTTTTTACAAAAGTTATTAGAAAATTCTACGAGAATTCAATTATTTAAATAGATAGAGAAATAAATAATTGAATATTTCTTAAAATTGAATTCTTATAAAGAATTTTATCAACAAATTTTCAAATAATTGAATTCTTTTGACGAATTTTAATAAAATGTTTAAGAACAATTATACATTTTTCGTGGAATTCGATTTAAATTGTATTAAAAATAATTGAAATTTTACAATGAGTTTGATTATTTATGAAAATAATTGAATCATTGCGAATATATTTAAAAAAAATTTGTAAATAATTGAATTCCTGTGAAATTTTAATTATTTATGAAAATAATTAAATATTTCCGCCAAATTTTATTGAAATAATTGAATTATTGTGAAAAATTTTATTAAAATTTTTGAAAATAATTAAATTTCGAAGAAGAATTTTATTACTTTTGAAAATAATTGAATTTCTACAATTATTTATAACTTCTCCAAAATTCAAGTTTTTTTAGTTATTCAAAAAGAAATTATTGACAGAAATAGAAAAATTTGAAGGTTTTGAATTAGATTTAAAGAATAAACTCAATAACCTTAGAAAACAACAATTTTCCAGGATTTCAATAAAAATTCCCTGACTTTTCCTCTTTTTTTTTTTAGGTTTTTTCAAGATTTATAAAATTCCCTGGAATAATTCTGACAATGCGGTCAGATTTGAACTCAGTACGTCAAAAACTTGGTTCCAAGATTCGTCAAAATTTGGTTGACCTATGTAATAATAATTGGAAAAAAATAATAATAATAACAGTAATAGCGGAAGGAAAAATAAAATTAGAACTGATTTGCTTCATGTTTGGAAGATATCTCTTACTAAGCTTATATTATTGATTATGATACACGATAAAGCAAATATTGTAAATATTATTTTTCTTTTAAGCATTAATTTAATGATTAATTAAAACTAATTAAGTCTTGTAAAGTAAATGAAGATGGATATGGCGTCTAATTAAACAATTCTATTTATTAAATTGCATATTGCATTATCGACAATTTTAATATATCAATTTCCAACTTAAGAGGATTATAAAAATACTCATTTAATTAGTTGTTATATTGATTTATTAAACAATAGGTATTAATTGCTTTATAGCATTAACAATGAGTTGCATGGGGGACTCAAAGTTTAATTTTTCTTAAAAAATATCGATAATCATTTATATTTTTATTTATTTATTTACATTGTAGAAGTTTCTCTAATTATTTCAAGATTAAGGTCCCTAAGGTTGTAATTATTGCGGAATGTCTATAAAATTATTTCTTCTTATTTTCAGTGATAAAATTTTAACTAATTTCACTTTGTTTAATCTCCGAAAAGATAGGTAACAATTATTTTTAATCTAAAATCTATAGAAAAATTATGTGATTCTTTTCAGTTTCGTGAAAAAAAAGGTTTTTCGATGCTCGGCATTCACGACAACTTCAGGGACCTCAATATTAATGTTTGTTAAAAAACATCTGCTTATAGATTAAGTTAATAAAAGACTAGAAAACTATACAATTAAACTTTGATTACCCAAAAATAATTCAAGTCAGACATGTTTTAATTTCGATAATAAGAATTTTGATGTTTTGAAAATTATGAAATTGAATTTTGGGGAATAATCATGCGCCCCGCTTTTCATTACTTCATAATTTTGGAAAAAATAATTTTTTGTCATTGCAAATTAAAAAAGAAAAGAAAAAAGAAACTGCATGCTTAGGGATATATATGGGCGCGTTAGGCTGTGGTAAAAAGATTATTTAGCACGAAGGTAATTAAGAAAAAAACAACTCGATTAGATGTACTTCACTGTGTATCAAGCGTGCTCCAAAAGGATAATAAAGCATTAAGTAAACAATAAATTTTTATTTATTTTGCATTTAATTGAAATCTGATTTGAAACAAATTTTAATTTTTAATTATAGAATTTGTTTCAATATATTAATAACTTATAGTAAAAATGTTTCAAGTTCAAAACTTGAGATTTCAAATACTTAAAGTTATAAGATTCTTCCACATTCAATAAGAAGAAGAAGAAGCATTAAAATTTCTTTCCTATGATACATAATTCAAGAACAAGAATTGCTTCCTTACTTCGAAGGACATCTTCTCACTTACGTCATTCACTTATTTCTACATATATATTTCGTAATAGTTTCATCTTATATACAATCATCCACTAATTAATTGTCAATAATTTACAATATTTTCTTAAGATCTCTTTAAATAGTTAAAAATATTTTAATGAAAATATAATTTGGTAATTAAAAATACTGTAATTTTCGATAATGCCTCTTAAATGAAGAAACTTTTTTGAGCAAAACGAAAGAGTTAATTGTAAAGAAAGTTATGCATTTCAACATTGGCAAAATGTACAAACTTTACAAACTTTTGCACTATGAACTTCACTTTATAAAACTTTCTTTACAAACAGATAGAACTCTTGAAATGATCTAATTTTCATTTGTAAAATGGATTTACATTTGAGGATTGAAAATCCAGCCTTCTCAAACGAGAAGGGTTCTTAAAGATCAAACAATTTCGCCTTTCGAGTCGGTTTCTTCTTTCAAGGGAGAATATTTCGCTTCGGCTGGTTCAATTTTTCTTCGGAAGGTAATCCACGTATAAATTAAACTACCAATTACACTTAAATTGAGTCCTAAAAAGTTGATTAATGAAAAAATATAATCACCGCCAATAATCATGCCGATGTAGGTAACGCAAATATTCTTTAGACATCCAACAATAGTTGTCGTTAAGGCTGAATTATAAAGCATACAAAGAATCACACTGTATGAAAGTACGAAGCCCATAATGCACGAAAGGAAAAATTGAATAATGAAGAGTGGATCATTCCAGTATTCAAAGATAAGTACTTTTTCGAGATCCCTCGACCACCAGGCAAGTATGGTCGCTGGTATAATCATAAATAGGGAATTGTAGTACATGAGGCCATATTTTCCTAGTTCTTTGGAATCCAATTTTTTCTTTGTGTACACGCCGTTGGCAGCGGTGAAAAAGTCGTTTAAAAGAATAAAGATGTATCCCTCCAAGTTGAAGGCGAGATCGTTGGAAGCAGCCACCAGAGCACCAAAAACCATGGTATAAACACTAACCTGGAGGTAGTGTTTCCAATGAACAAAAATTTTAAGATTTGCATTTCTTACTACTACTTTTTTGTTTATTAAAGTTATTATTTAACACATATTTTATCAATGATCATGAACAAAAAATATGTAACAACATTTAAGTCACACAAAAATTTATATTATTAAAGAAAGTACCCCTAAGTTTATTTAACGTACGTTAAGTTGGTGCAACCACATTCAAAAATTAATTTCTGACATATAAGTAATTGACAGCACATTTACTTTAAAATACTTAGTGCTCAGAATTTTTGAGGAAAATATGAAATTATGGTTGTTTAACATTACATTGACATGAAGCATATATATACAAAAAGAACTATTAGAAAAATTGTTACCAAAACTAAAGGTTCGTTTATACCTCCAGAATGTATATTTTTTATTTAAACAGATATAATATTACTTGTTTTATTAAATAATGAGTCAACAACTTAATTTTAAGATTTAAATTTTGAATTAAAAATTTTAAGACGTTAAAAGTTTATACAGAAATATATAAATACACTGGAACCGCGGTTTTTTCAGAAATTAGTTATTCGGAAAACGATAGATTTCTTTAACCGAAATTTCTTTCTGCTAATTTTTATTTACTATAATTTTCATTTAAACAAATTTCTATAAAACAAAATTTTTTCACATGCCAATTCAGTCAAATAAAAATTCTATTAAATAAAATTTCTATAATATGAACATTGTGACAAATAAAAATTGTATTAAATAGAAATTTTGTTCGATTGAAGTTTAGTAAAGTGAAATTTATGTAATATCAGGCTGGTCACAAGTTTCAGTTTATCAATTTCACTGAATTTTGAAAATTTTCCAAACAATTAAAATTTGGTAAAATCTTTTAAAAATAATTGAATTTTTGAAAAATATAAATAAAAATGATCAAATTTTTGAAGAATTTTGATTATAAACAGGACCATGATTTTTCGAAAATTTTCATAAGTCCAAAAATTAATTTTTATAAATTTTTATTTATATTGTTCGAAGACGAGTGAATCTTAAAAAATTTTTATAAAACAATTCTAACAATTAGTTTTTAAAAATATTTTAATTGAATTTTTCGAAAATAATTGAATTTCTTAAAAGAATTTTTGTATAAAATTTAAAAAAACTCATTAATTTTTTGATGAATTTTAATTAAAAATTTGGAACATGATTGTTTTCTCCAAAATGTTATTAGTTTTGAATGTATTTGAATTTTTGAAAATATGTAATTGAAAATACTGAAAATATTTAATTTTAAAAAATTATAAACTAATTTTCATTAATTTTCATTTTTAAATTTACCTTTCAAGATTTTTCATCAAAATTTTTTATATTTCAATTATTTTGAAAATTTGCAATAATTAAAATTCTTCAAAAATTGATTTTTAAAAATTGTAAATAAATACTTGAAATAAATAAATTATTTTCAATTAAATTTTACAAAATGTTAACTATTCAAAAAGATTATTATTATAGATATATTTGAAAAATTCAATTATGTTAAAAAATGTTTCAAAAACAATTTTTGAAAGATTTGTTTATACTTATTTTTCGTATTATAAAAATTATAATAAGTTGTACTTTTTTACTAAAAATTGTTGTATTTTCTTTATTTATTTCATGTGTATACGGGTAAAAATACCCTTTCGTACAAAAGTACTGGAATAATGCTTAAATTGAAAAAATGAAAAACGAAGCAATGACAATAAAACGTAATTAGCAAAAAATAACAATTTGCGTGAATCATTTTGTTGCAATGTTTGGAAGAAAAGTCGAAAAAGTCGCAATTTTTGAAAATAAGTTGAAAAAAGTCTCAATTTTCTTAATTTTACTGTACAAAAACTTTTTTCCTTACATTTCCCTGACATTACTGACAAAAAATGTGTTTCCCTGACTTTACTGACATGTGACCACCCTGAATATAGAAAATTGCTTAAATGGAATTTCTGTTCAATAATATTTCGGAGAAATTGAATTTTGGCTAAAAAGAATTCTTTCTAATATTTTTTGTCTACTAAAAATTCGTCTAAATGACAATCTGTTCAATAAAAATTCTAGAAAATGAAAATTTCGATAAATTAAAATTCGACGTAATGAAAATTCTGTCAACTAAAACTTTTATTATGAAAAAATTTTGTTTTATAGAAATTCCTTAAAATGAAAATTATAGGTAGTAAATAAAAATTCGCAGAAAGAAATTTCAGTTAAAGGAAACTTCTAACTTATGAAATTCTGTCTTTCAAAAATAATAAAAAAATTGTTTTATGGAATAATAAGACGCCCACTTCTACTACTAATTAAAAAATGTAACAATTGGATTAACCCTTTCGTGTCCCTGAGAAACCAAAACGATTGGATTTTGTTGAAACTTGTTACTCAGGGGTTTTTGGGGTCGCTGATTACGAATCTGAAGGCAGATTTTCAAAATTTTGAAAATTCAAAATGGCGGATCAAATATGGCAGACATTTTTTCAAAATTGCTCAAATTTACATAAAACTTGTTACTCGGGGTTTTTTGAATCAGTGATTACGAATCTGAAGTCAGATTTAAAGCATTCAAAATAATGACCCCAAAAACCACCGAATAACAAGTTTCAAGCGAATTTGAGCAGATTTGAAAAAAATGTCCACCATTTTGAATTTTGAACCCCTGCCTAAAGAAGTTTTAAATGAATTTGAGAAAGTTTTTAAAAATTAAATTTATCTATTTTTTTTATAAATATTTTACCTATTGTTCATAATAATTATAATCGAACTACTTAATTTATTATTTTTTTAATTGTAGCAGCGGCCATTCGCAATAGAAAGAAATTTACCGCAAATTAATTGGCTGACTTTTATAAGAATAACATAAATTTTTCTAAGTGGGACACATATGTCCCGAAGGCACGAAAGAGACATTTATAAAGGGACATGTTAATTTCTACAATCATTCAAATTTATTTCAAAGTAAAATTGAACAAGTATTTTCAAAGAAATTTGAAGGATGTTAGAACACCCAATAAGAAATTTCTCTTTTGTAACTGTAATTGATTCAGAGGCGCATGATTATTCCCCAAATGTCATTTGACCGAACTGTCATTTCACCGAATTGCATTTATCCGAACTGTTATTTTTGCGAATCGACATTTTTACAAATTGACACTTTTGCGAAAAGTCATTTTTGCGAATTGTCATTTATGCGAACTGACATTTTTTCGAATTATTTTTACGAAATGTTACTGTTGCGATTTGCCATTTTTGCGAAAATTGCAACAGTGACATTTTGTAAAAATGCCAATTCGAAAAAATGACATTTCGGAACAATAACGATTCGTAAAAATGACAATTCGTAAAAATGATATTTTGCAAAAATGACTTTTCGCAAAAGTGTCAATTCGTAAAAATGTCGATTCGCAAAAGTGACATTTAGTTAAAATAACAGTTCGGATAAATGCAATTCGGTAAAATGACAGTTCGGTCAATTACAAATCTTGCATGAGTAACTTTAAACAATCTCAATTTTACTTTATAAATCGTTTTTAGCAAAGAGATTGCTTTTAAATATCCAGATGACCCTAACTTAAGCTGCAATATAATGGCAATGAAAAATGTTCAATAAATATCAATTAAACCTTATCTAGACAGCACCGTTTTTTCCAGGAAGTTATTTGTAAGTTATTACACTTCTAAAACTGATCGTAAAAATGTACACCTGTTCATTAAATTTCAATCAGTGGAGGTATGTAATTAAAATGAATGCACATAGTACATACATTGAAATTTCATATTTACAAGCATATTGTAAATTACAAAATTTTGAAATTATGTTCGGAGTACATAACCTGAGTATTAAAATTCTGTCATTTAAAATGACTTTTTTGGAAAATTTACTATTTTTTATTTTAAATAGTCTGTCCAAATTTACCATCTGCTTCTTGTAATTGTAACACTATCAGCAAAGGAGACTTTAACTCTCCTTCGGCCTAAACGATTGGCCTGACGATCCTGACTGATCTGAATTGAAGATATGTCTTTTTCTTATTAATAATTAACACAGCCCACAAAAAAAGTATCCTGCGCGGCAGACTACAGTGCCCTATCCCCATGTATTTTGGTGAGCTGAACACAAATCCGAGGTCAGATTTGCTCCATCATGTTAGGATTCTTTTCTAACCTCCAGGCTTCGCACTCCATTATATGAGTTTTAAAAAAGTAGGAAAAAGTAGCCCCGATGACAAAAAAAAGTAGGAAATAGTAGCCTCGATGACAAAAAAAAAGTAGGAAATAGTAGCCTCGGTGACAAAGAAAAGTAGTATACATATATTTCAGGGTGTCTACTAATCGGGAAAAACCGGGAATAAGTCAGAAATTATATTCCAAACCAGGAATTTTCTCACCAAATTAGAAAAAGTTTTATTATTTTAATTTGTGTTTAAAAAATCACATTTTATTTCAATTTTCATAGATATTTATACTGTTCTCTAAATTTAAATTAGTTAAAAATAATTAATTTAATAGTAAAAAATCAGTCACTGATTTAAATATATAGTATGTAAATAAATAAATTACAAAAAAATTATCGAATTAATAGAAATTTCGTAAAATTTAACTGAAAATAATAAAAATTAAAGAATTTCATTGAAAACTTTTTAACAAATCGAGTTTTCAAAATATTTTAATTTATAATTGATAAATATAATTAAATTTTATAAGGAGTCACATTCTAATATATTCATGTTTCCTAGTGCGAAGATTAAAAATTAACATTTTTATTTGTTAATTTAAAAAAAGATACACACTTCAAATTTTTTAAAAAAATTGAATTTTCGCAAACTTTTTTTGAAAATTTTTAAAAATAAGATTTTTTAAATTTTTCAATTCTGTTGTTTTAAGATAATTGAATTTTTTTAAACAAATAATTGAAAATTTTTGATATAATTGAAATTTCTTTACATTCTATTAAAAATAATTTACTTCTTTTAAAGAATTTTATTTAA